AAATAGCAAATGTGAGATGTTCCAGTGGTATATTATTTGATGATGCATGAAGAAGAAGGTCATGCGAGAGATCTTGGCCAAAATCAAATGAAATAGATGTTGCATGACCAGTTCGGTATTCATTTGAGAGATGATATCGATCAAATGGTAATGATAGAGACTGATCAAGTTTACAATCATGAAGAGCATCTAGCCAAAACATGCTTGCACCAGTCATTGCCATTTGTTGTTCGATAACAGCATCTACATAAGTAAAAAAATAATGTATTAGAGAAGGGAAAAGTAGAAGTAGTATTTATGTTTACAATCAAGATAACGTAGAGTAGTGTTGTCATTGTTAGATAGTTGACTTGTTGAATATGCTTGCTCGAGATCATGAAGAAAGATATTCATTGATTGAAAACCAAATAGAGCATGATGAAAGTTGAAAATAAGTATATCTTTGTGAGAAAGATGATGATTCGAAGAGATTTGTTTATAATAAACAAGATGACATCGAAAGACAAGACCCTGAGCAACATCAAACAGATGAGGATTACGTTTCTCGTTCTGTAAAATCTCATTTAGTTGCTCATCTGTTTCATAAATAGTTTCGATGATTGAAAACATATTATTTTTATATTTATCTTCATGAGTAACAACTCGTTGCATAAGTAGATTCTTTTGGATGTTAAAATGAAGTGATGTATGAAGTGAAGGATGTTTGTTAACAGTGAGTTGAAGAGCATGATGAAGATGTTGTACTGATAAAGTATGATGTGAGTAGAGAGAATAAACAAAAGGCATATTATAGATTGCTATTTGAGGCTTGTCTGGATCGAATCGATTTTTTTCATCAAGCCATATACGAGCTTGTGCAAATGATGCTGGTGCTAGAATAACGAGAGCTTACAGAATTATAATGTAAAAACTGGATGGCCAAATGATGTTTGGTAACAATATTCTAGTCACTTTTCATGTGATCGCCGCTTTAACAGAACAACATCCGTATCAAGAATGTTGACTCACTATTTTAATACCACAGAGTGAAATACCTAACATCGTATGATATCGGACCCTACTTTAAAAAATCGGGGAATATTATTAGTATTCATAGAATCCGATTTAACGGTTTTGATCTGGGACTTTTTACGCGCATTAACAGTACTATGTAATAGTTTTATGTTAATGTTTATATAAAAAACGCGATACACTCTAAATAAAATAGGTGCTCTACTAAACTCCCAAAAAAGGTTTCGTCGCGACGAAAAAGTCTCTGAACATGTTTAAAGTTTGAAAAACACAATAAAAAATTCTACGAAACCATTAAAGGATCTTCCCGTGTATCGGAGGGAAGAACGTGCACCTACGAAACCTTTTTTAAGTTCAGGACTACCAAAAAAGGTTTCGTGGAGAAATACGAAAC